TCAAAAATCGGGAAATTTTAAATCTCGTTCTAGAAGACGAGATTCTATTTCGAGATTTTTTCAAGACGAGATAAAAAAAAATTATTTAAAAATAATTGAAATAAAAAACCCCTGCAGAAAGTCAATGCAATACCCGCAATTTACATGAGCGCCGTGATGTTGCGTTTCCTTTGCGAAGGTGTTTTTATTTAATTCTTTACATGGAAATATTGCTTCAATTGTTTTATAATTTTTTTGACATAGCAAATGATGAGAAGTTTTGTTAGTGTTAGCAGTGTGAGACATGTTTTACTACTGTAAACATAGCCAAAATAAGTCACTCCAAAATTATTCTAAAAATAACACAAGACAAAAAATTGTTATTTGATACTTTAACTAGTAATACTGTTGTTTTAGACTTATAAATTTGGTATTTTTCAAAGTTGAACTATACTAACTAAAATCTCCATGTTTCCTATGACGAAGAGTTATTTTTAATAAGTTAGGCCTCATTAATATTTTTTTTTATAATGATGTTTTTATTAATGTTTTGAACTAAAAGATTTTAAATATTTCTGTCAATTATTATAATTTTTGAATTTAACCAGTCTGTCATAAATCAGTAGATATTTAAAATTGTTTAAAAAATCAGGTTAAAATGTGGAACGTGAATTTCCCGTTATGTATGAGAAGGGAAATCCCGTCTCAAACTAAAAATCCAATCTCGTCCATCCCTATGGATTAGTAATATAAAATCAAACATATAAACCTCTTTGTGGGACACCCTGAATATGGAATAAACAGAAAGATTATGCTTGCACCAACTAGACACAATCACATTATCATTATCAGTTAACAATCCAAAGGGAATAAACAGATCAGAGGGAAAATTACTAAACACAGTTGTTCTGAAACAAAATTTATTTTACCTGTTTTACTTAATATAAAAATTACAAATGTGTGTATTTTAAATGTGGATTTAACATAAATTCACCATAATTTCTTGTAGTCTTTATAATGGCTTGGTGATAAGATACAAATTAATTAATATATTATAACTGTGTGGAATAGATTATAAGAGAAATAATACTTATTTATGAAAGGAAGTAAAAAGATACCGGTAACTCACTAACTCACTAACTCAATAGACTCAGAGTGAGTTTTGTGAATTACATAAGTCCTTAATGCATTGTTTGTTCTTTGTGTGCGGACAGTAAGTAGAATTTGTAAAGCTACCATTAGGATCAGAATAAAGAGTATGACTGTCAATATAAATATGAGAAGGTGGTGATTAGACTGCAGATGAATGGTTTGAATTGGAATGGTTGTGGATGTGATTATTGTTGAAGTTGGAATGGTTGTGGGTGTAATTTCCGTCGGAGTTGGAACGATTGTTGATGTGGTTTTGTTAAATAAAACATCAGAAATCCCTGTCCAAAATGAATGATCGGAAAATCCTTCCTCAGTATCTGTTACAGAAACATCAGTAGAGCTGAATACAGACATCATTTCAGAAGTTGACGTTTCTGACATCGAATCTGTTGTTGGCACAGAAGTGGTTACAATAGCTAGAAAACAAAAAATATCACTATACTGCTAGAAACAATTTGGTTGAAGCAATACAAACTACTACTGATTGTATGCAAATGACAACAGTTAAAAATATGTGTGCAAATAGTAGTCAACTATAGAGTAAGTTTGCAAATTCCAAGGTTTTCCAAACTGAGTTTAGTGTTTTAGGTTAAGAATATATGGTGTGATTCCAGCTTTTGATTAATTTGATATTTTCTCAGTTTGGTACCGTACTGGTATTGTGTTTGACAACATTTAGAATGGAATCATCAGTTAATCTTCTATTACTAAAATAACTTCAGATGACTGTTTGGTATGAGTTAGCAAAATGAAAGATGACTAAAAGCAGCTGTGTATAGCTGTAATGTCCTACTATTTATCACCCTGAGTTTTGTGAGGTGCAGAAGCAGAACACGGCAATACTTATACTTGTACTTTTCATTGAAATCCAAGTCAGCTTTCCTCTGATCATTTATTTAAATTATTGATTACAAACAGTACCTGGTAATGGTACAGTTTTCATAGAGCGGATCAACTACAATTCTACCAGCAGACTGGTTACAACTCTGCAGCTACCTGTACATGTTGTTCCTTCACCAGCTATAGTCATGTTTGACAGACAAAATTATTACATTCTACCAGCAGACTGGTAACAACTCTGCAGCTACCTGTACAAGTTGTTCCTACACCAGCTATAGTCATGTTTGACAGACAAAATTATTACATCCTACCAGCAGACTGGTTACAACTCTTCATCTACCTGTACAAGTTGTTCCATCCCCAGCTAGAGTCATGTTTGACGGACAACTACATCCTACCAGCAGACTGGTTACAACTCTTCATCTACCTGTACAAGTTGTTCCATCCCCAGCTAGAGTCATGTTTGACGGACAACTACATCCTACCAGCAGACTGGTTACAACTCTTCATCTACCTGTACAAGTTGTTCCATCCCCAGCTAGAGTCATGTTTGACGGACAACTACATCCTACCAGCAGACTGGTTACAACTCTTCATCTACCTGTACAAGTTGTTCCATCCCCAGCTAGAGTCATGTTTGACGGACAACTACATCCTACCAGCAGACTGGTTACAACTCTTCATCTACCTGTACAAGTTGTTCCATCCCCAGCTAGAGTCATGTTTGACAGACAACTACATCCTACCAGCAGACTGGTTACAACTCTTCATCTACCTGTACAAGTTGTCCCATCCCCAGCTAGAGTCATGTTTGACGGACAACTACATCCTACCAGCAGACTGGTTACAACTCTTCATCTACCTGTACAAGTTGTTCCATCCCCAGCTATAGTCATGTTTGACAGACAACTACATCCTACCAGCAGACTGGTTACAACTCTTCATCTACCTGTACAAGTTGTCCCATCCCCAGCTAGAGTCATGTTTGACGGACAACTACATCCTACCAGCAGACTGGTTACAACTCTTCATCTACCTGTACAAGTTGTTCCATCCCCAGCTAGAGTCATGTTTGACAGACAACTACATCCTACCAGCAGACTGGTTACAACTCTTCATCTACCTGTACAAGTTGTTCCATCCCCAGCTAGAGTCATGTTTGACGGACAACTACATCCTACCAGCAGACTGGTTACAACTCTTCATCTACCTGTACAAGTTGTTCCATCCCCAGCTAGAGTCATGTTTGACGGACAACTACATCCTACCAGCAGACTGGTTACAACTCTTCATCTACCTGTACAAGTTGTTCCATCCCCAGCTAGAGTCATGTTTGACAGACAACTACATCCTACCAGCAGACTGGTTACAACTCTTCATCTACCTGTACAAGTTGTCCCATCCCCAGCTAGAGTCATGTTTGACGGACAACTACATCCTACCAGCAGACTGGTTACAACTCTTCATCTACCTGTACAAGTTGTTCCATCCCCAGCTATAGTCATGTTTGACAGACAACTACATCCTACCAGCAGACTGGTTACAACTCTTCATCTACCTGTACAAGTTGTCCCATCCCCAGCTAGAGTCATGTTTGACGGACAACTACATCCTACCAGCAGACTGGTTACAACTCTTCATCTACCTGTACAAGTTGTTCCATCCCCAGCTAGAGTCATGTTTGACAGACAACTACATCCTACCAGCAGACTGGTTACAACTCTTCATCTACCTGTACAAGTTGTTCCATCCCCAGCTAGAGTCATGTTTGACGGACAACTACATCCTACCAGCAGACTGGTTACAACTCTTCATCTACCTGTACAAGTTGTTCCATCCCCAGCTAGAGTCATGTTTGACGGACAACTACATCCTACCAGCAGACTGGTTACAACTCTTCATCTACCTGTACAAGTTGTTCCATCCCCAGCTAGAGTCATGTTTGACGGACAACTACATCCTACCAGCAGACTGGTTACAACTCTTCATCTACCTGTACAAGTTGTCCCATCCCCAGCTAGAGTCATGTTTGACGGACAACTACATCCTACCAGCAGACTGGTTACAACTCTTCATCTACCTGTACAAGTTGTTCCATCCCCAGCTAGAGTCATGTTTGACGGACAACTACATCCTACCAGCAGACTGGTTACAACTCTTCATCTACCTGTACAAGTTGTTCCATCCCCAGCTAGAGTCATGTTTGACGGACAACTACATCCTACCAGCAGACTCGTTACAACTCTTCATCTACCTGTACAAGTTGTCCCATCCCCAGCTAGAGTCATGTTTGACGGACAACTACATCCTACCAGCAGACTGGTTACAACTCTTCATCTACCTGTACAAGTTGTTCCATCCCCAGCTAGAGTCATGTTTGACGGACAACTACATCCTACCAGCAGACTGGTTACAACTCTTCATCTACCTGTACAAGTTGTCCCATCCCCAGCTAGAGTCATGTTTGACGGACAACTACATCCTACCAGCAGACTGGTTACAACTCTTCATCTACCTGTACAAGTTGTCCCATCCCCAGCTAGAGTCATGTTTGACGGACAACTACATCCTACCAGCAGACTGGTTACAACTCTTCATCTACCTGTACAAGTTGTTCCATCCCCAGCTAGAGTCATGTTTGACGGACAACTACATCCTACCAGCAGACTGGTTACAACTCTTCATCTACCTGTACAAGTTGTCCCATCCCCAGCTAGAGTCATGTTTGACGGACAACTACATCCTACCAGCAGACTGGTTACAACTCTTCATCTACCTGTACAAGTTGTTCCATCCCCAGCTAGAGTCATGTTTGACGGACAACTACATCCTACCAGCAGACTGGTTACAACTCTTCATCTACCTGTACAAGTTGTCCCATCCCCAGCTAGAGTCATGTTTGACGGACAACTACATCCTACCAGCAGACTGGTTACAACTCTTCATCTACCTGTACAAGTTGTTCCATCCCCAACTAGAGTCATGTTTGACGGACAACTACATCCTTCCAGCAGACTGGTTACAACTCTTCATCTACCTGTACAAGTTGTTCCATCCCCAGCTAGAGTCATGTTTGACGGACAACTACATTCTACCAGTAGACTGGTTACAACTCTGCAGCTACCTGTACAAGTTGTTCCATCCCCAGCTAGAGTCATGTTTGACGGACAACTACATTCTACCAGTAGACTGGTTACAACTCTGCAGCTGTGAGAACAGTTCAGCTGCCGACAAGAGTATTCTGTTCCTGCACTGTGAGCTTCTTGTGAAAATATTTTCAAATCATTGATTTTCTGAAAAAAAAAATAATATTCTTTTACTTTATAGAATCGTTATTTTACTTTTTCTATTTCTAGTTACTTCCAAAATTTTAAGGCTCTTCTTTGACCTGAGACCTGATAAAATTCCATGAGTATTAAATCAAAATATTTTCAACTGCAATATAGGTTGCAATGGCAAACTGTGAAGTGGACACAATGCTGGAAAAACTTCAATTTCCAATGTATCTTTTATATCATTGTAACCAAATAGCAATTACTGCAATAAATTTGTAAAAGAATGCTTGTCCACCTGTATTCTTAAGGGGTTAGTAAACAATAAAATTTCCTCATTAGATATCAGAGTAATTCAGATGATTTAGAAACAATAAGATACCAACTTATTCTATCGTTAGCCGACATTAAAATATGTATCAAAATGCTGTATTACAATAGGATGAGAAGTCTACTCGGAGCTTACAAAGTTAATACTGAAGCTTGGTATCAATCCATGCTCCAACACATTCTATTTGTACCAGGGGTCAACTTTGTTTGGATAATTTAATATGGTTTTACTCACTGGCAACTTAACTTTTATGTTTTTATGTATATTTGAAATTTTTAATGAAAATCGCTTTAATAGTGTGATTTGGTTATTCCAATAACGATACAGATATTAGAAAAACATTACCTGAGTATCAGTAAAGATTGCAACCAATTTGTCTATTCCAGCTTTGGGTGACACGTGTCCTCTGTAAATTGTATAATTTTCATTTTCTTGGTTGCTCCATACAATCAACCCATTGACAGTGCTTAATCCGCGTGGCTTGGCAAGTTCTGGTCCACTGTATAGAACTTTGAAGGTCGAGAAGTCGTAATTACAACTAACTAAGAAATTGTTTACGTCATTTTTGGTGAATGAACCAATCACATATATAGTTTCCTGTTGAACATCCACACTCAGTTCCACAACAGTTCCAAAGTGGTATTTAGACAACACATCCCACGTACATACTTTCCCGCATTTTGAAAGTTTACCTCCATCTTCAAAAAAAATTTGAAACCTGGAAATTACATTGAAAGTTTACCGATTAATCTTGTATAGCTTTAGTTGGTTGGATTAGAACTACTGTAGAACCAACGTTTTCAAATTATTAGTATTTTAAACTGATTAATCTAGATGTTGACTATAAATAAAATCAAATCAAAACAAATCAATCTTTATTCATAATGTGTACATGATTAATCATACAACGGAAAAGTGTCATTTCCTTATAAGAGGCTGCAGATCTCAATTGTTTTCTAGAACTTGCTATATTCATAAAATTGTATAGTATATTGATGAAATTACTTTTTACTCCAAAGTTTCTAGATTAGTGTGAAATTCGGGGACCTGAGCTATTTCGCACAAATACTATATTTTATGTGTCTTCTTCTTCTTCTTCTTAAAAAAAAATTGATTCTGTTTATAAACCACTGCTTGTGGCCCTGAGGATAACAAACTAATTGGCTCTATGAGCAGTACTGGGGAGGATCCCTTCCTTTGATGGCCACAAATTTGACTGTATTACTTTAATTATATAATAGATATTTTCTGTCCCAATATAGGCTAGATATACAGGGTGTTTATAAAAAAACGTTACAACTTTACCATCCTCTTCCCGTGAAATAACAGTTTTCTAAAACACCTTATGAAAGAGAGCTAAAAAGTTTAAATCTGTAGCAGTTTTATCAGCTGATTGGCTTATGTTGTTGCTTGGTAAACAATTAGAAATAATTTATGAATCTCGTTAAAATTTCAATGGAAACTCGTATTGAAGTGCAGTGTTTGCTGTTTGGAGTGACTCATGGAAACCAAGCCAAGTGGGGTGCACCGAAACTCCCCCGCAAAATCCAGGTAGACACCGAAACTCCGCCGCTACCCGTAATCCTGCCCCAGCGGCACACTGATATTCCCCCCTGTCCTTCCTGGATTCTGGAATCCAAGGGGAGGCAATGACGAGGAGAGAGTTTTCGTTGTCATTGTAGAACGTGGAGATTCTCCCAAAACCCTTCATACATCTCTCAGGAGAGAGAGTGTCTACTGTTGAGTCAAAAAGATAGATATAGATACTGTACTCAAGTTTAAGCGTTTATAAGAATAAGAATAAGAATAAGAAAGTTTATTGCCATTGACCAAGTTGTACATAGGAATAGGCATTGTCAAATTACATTAAATACAATATTTATTACAAAGTAACCAGTAGACTAAGAAAAATACAAGTTACTGTACATTTGTTACATACTGTACACAAATTTATTTCTCCGTTTATGTGTGTTGGCTTAAAATTATTTATGCAGCTTCAACTTAACATTTCAGCGGGTTGAATGAAAATATAAAAGGTTTCAGCTTTTTTCTAACAACTGGAGACTTTAACATTTTATAACAAAAATACTACTGATGCATTCGTCATAAAATTACCTTTAAAAGCTTATTTATGAATTTTAGGATTTAAAAAAAAAAATCTGTTATGGTTTTGTAAAGACATTTTATTTCTGCGATGGAACAAGTAAACTAGTGGAACTAGAAAATATGCGTCTGCTTGCAAAAAGATATTAACTCTTTAGCTCCAATTTATAATTGGATTCCCCTGTTATTACTCCTGTTCCCTGTTATTAGGAAAGAAGTAGTTAACATGGTATAAGACATAAGACCACGACCACCTTTTTTCATTGTGTGGTCCTTTAAGGAACACAAATTAAAATTACCTCAAAAGAACTTGTAAAGTGACAATCATAACATTAAGGTTGGAAACCAGCAGGAGCAGGCAATCCTGCTATTGAATAAAATCCTCTATTGAGTAGCCTATACCAATGTATAGGCCACTCAATAGAGGATTTTATTTACAAATTTAATTTAATTTTCAAGACTTTACATTTATTTACTCACGGGAAGTAAATAAAAGAAACGTCTTATAAAACTTAAAACATATATTTACGCTTATAAATACTGTTACTCACAATACGGTAAATATACAAACAAGATGGTAAGTGGTGATCGATTTCAATTGGACACTCCAATCATCATCAGACCCAATAGGCGAGATTCAACATAAACTAAAAATATTTTTGTTCAAGAAAAATTTTACTTAGAATAAAACAACGTCTTCAAATTAAATCATGAAAGAATTACAGCAAGTCGTAAATTTTGCGATTGTTTTGACTTACGATAAGGTTGCGGTCATCGCACGCGGTCACAAACCTGGATTATTAATTGGGCCGATATCCCAAACAAGTCTAAAAAAATTCAGAAATACCGGATTTGAAGCAACACACCCCTCTTAACTAATATAAGGTTCTTGGACTGTAATAGTACCCATTACAACAAGCTATTTAACTTCTTAAAACATTGTAACTTGTTTAAAAAAATTGTATTATGTTTTTCTTGAGTTTAGGTGCACCAACTGATATTTAATTGTTAGTTCATAATTTCTGAACATATTAAATGAGAAACAATTACATAATTATGTTCCTTTTTCTCGGTAAAAGAGTTTCCCAGAATCCAAGGTATACAGCTTTACCTTACAATTCTTTTGGCTACAACGCCACTTTTCTTCTCCACTCTTCAAAACCCCTCAAGAAAAAAAAAACATAATTGTCTTTCACCAAATTTACTTGTTCATGCTCACAAATAACCTAGCTAACTTTACTGAACGAACTACAGTAGGCCTACTTAACTAAGCAATAAAACGATCGCACATAATCACGGAGTACTACTCAGTTAGAAAACTTAAGCAAAACTGAAATACATATTTTGGGGTAAAGTAGTTTGTAGTACACTATTTGTTATGTAGTTGACCAATAGACACCTTACATCATTGGTGCTTGGGGGGGGGGGGGGGGGGGGGTTTGGAGGGTGGCATTCCTGAGTCATTACGCGGTATGACAAACCTGGTGGGCTCAGGTACCTGCCATCCTCGCGGGGGAGTTTCGGTTAGGGTATTACCGAACCCTTTTGGTCGAGGTAGTATGCGGAGGAATTTCGGTGCACCGAGCCAAATGTTGTCTGACTTGACCGTGTTTTTTTTTTTTTTGTGTGGGGCTTTGTTGAGGTTTACCTCTATACAAGTAAAGTGAACACCAAAGAAGAACTCAAAGAAAGAATCAGGAGAGCGTCTGCTGAATTATTTTTTTAATTTTAGGTTGTGTTTGGTCCAAACTGAAATTTAGATTTTTTTGTTTTTTTCTACACCAGTTTGGCATTTTTAATCGATGTCAAAGTTAGTTATATGTGAGTCCAAACGCTTTTAAGGGAAAGCTGTCCAAACCTTTTTAAGATTTGTGGATGCGCGGGAATCGAACCTGTCCCTCCAGCACCGAAGTCAGGAACGCTAACCCCTAGGCTAGCAACACTTGATTATTTGGCGTGCAAATAAGGGAAAACACATCGAAGTTACGTTAACTCCTTATTATATACCAAAAATTGAAATGATGACTTTGATTTTTATAAGTGGAAAAATAAAGGTATTTATTATTGTTGTTTAACTTGTAATGTTTTCTATAAACACCCGTACACTTATCAAACCCAATATGAATCCACTCACCTTAATAACGGTTCAAAATAATAGTGAGTAATATCATCAGCATTATAGAGTCTTTTTTGCTTATCAGACCCATCAAGGTTACATTCCTGAACATTTAATTCACTTTCACAAGACCATCTGAGTGTGTTTCCCATCCAATTAAATGTTAGATCAGAGACATTATCACATTCTGTTTCAACTACTGTGATTGCATGAATGTATGTCATTGATGAAGGTATATAGGTGGACCTGTAAATTTAACTTATGATTAATCCACAAAATATATTCATACAATTCAGTGACATATATGAAGAAGCATTGGGTCTAAACTTGTTCCTAGCTCAGAGGCTCCTTCTTATGTCTTTGATAGAAGCGAAAAATTTTCATTTCTTTTATTAAAAAGGGGTGTTCTCATTTATTTTAGTAAATGAGGTTAAGGAAGGGAGGCTGATCAAAACGCTGAACATAAGTTAAGACTTATATATCTAAACTTATGTTCGCTTATAAAGGAAATGAAAGAAACCCCATTGCAAACAACCTCAAGACACAAGTCATTCAAGTTTGAATGATTGCTGGCCATCCTAAATATAATGTTATAACTATTAAGATGAATATTATTTTATGATCGGTAATTTAAACTCACAATAAAAATATTGTCAAAGATTAAAAAATAATTTATTCCACAAAAAATATGTGTTACAAAAATTATAATATACATACAATGGATGGTTCCCACACAGGCAAAGCCTGTGCGTGGGGAACGAGTTGTATCAGTCTGTTACTACAGAATCTTTGAAGTCCATTCAACTTATAATCTATTATTAGACCTATAATCTATTGTCTAGGTATTAGACAGCATAGGCTGTGACAGACATATAGGTGGTGAAAATGTTATTGTTATTATAGCAGGCAAAAACAGTTTTCATGTTAATGGGCGCTGTAACAGCTTTTTAACGGAGCTAGATTCTTTCCAAAAAAATGTGTCTAGTCCAAAAATCCTCCTTGTTGGTTTACCAGCTAGATACGATTCTCACTTTATGAACCCAGTAGTGGAAAAACCCTTGTCATCATAGAAAACTGGTAAGTTTTTCTGGAATTTTGACTTTTCTCCAAACGCATTCATTTGGATACCAATAAAAAATAACTTTCTCTTTAGCCATTTGGATCTCTTTGCTACTCAAAGTCTCACTTTATGATTCTTGATTGTGGCTTGAGTTCCTTTCATACGTAAAATCCATGCTACCATTCTTAACAGTTTTAGATAGCTTGAAAAAGGTATAGTAATGACATTGAGAAGTCCATACTTTTTTCTTTAGTTTACTTCTGATATTATCTTCTTTTTCTCTTCAGTATTAGCTTCTGAATGTGGTAGCATAAGACCCTGGCCAATGAGACTCATCATTTTGAAGCCATAACGGTCCTTCCCACCAATGAGACTGATAAAGTGTCTTAGCTCCACAACCTCTTGAGGGCAAATCAGCAGAGTTAAGATCTCCTGAAATGTGGTGCCAATCATCTTTAGAAGTAGTGTTACATATTTCCTTGCACCTGTTTCCAACAAACGTTCCCCAATCTTCCTTCTCTTTGATCCATGTCAGTACGATCGATAAGTCTATCCAAAAATATGTTATACATGACATCTTCAACGCCTTTTGAACATATGTGTAGATTCGAGCTCCCATAAGTGTGGCTGACAACTCCAATCTTGGTATTGTTGCATTCTTCGGGACAATCCTAGATTTTGCATAAATCAGCTGCACAGCTACCTTGTTTTGAGTCTTGGTTCTGATAAAAAGACCGGTGGGGCACATGGAAGATTTCTCAGGTGCCGTTTGACGTCACTAACTGCTGACGTCACTAACTGCTGCGTCTGAAGAAACAAACAATATTATAATTTTTCTATTATTAAATTAAACTGTCATAACCTAACCAAACGTGCTGATAATGGAAAAATCGAATGAAGGTTTACTAATCCAAAAAATAGTTTTGTTCATAAAATAAAATTATAAATGCCTAAAATTCTATTTTATAATTTTTTTATTATAAAATTAAACTGTCATAACCTAACCAAAACTGCTGATATGAAAAAAATGTTTGACAAAAGTTAGTGCTACCACTCAATGAACTCGGTACATTCGGATTATCAGCCCGACACGCTATCCACTACACCACCGAGGCCGATGGCTCAAAACCGTATCGTTGCGGTAATGGCAATGCCTCAAAGTGAAGTCAGCAGTTAGTGACATGAAACGGCACCTGAGAAATCTTCCGTGTGCCATTCTGTAAAAAGACAAGCTGCATAAGCTAATTTTCTAGTATCGGAAAATATGTGAAAACTCCTATCGTTTGCAGACAGACTGTAAAAGAAAAATTCTTCTTGGTATTCGACAGCTTTCCAACCAATGAATATTTTCAACCCACTTTGAACATTGGCATGCTATTTCATTTGGAAGTTCTTCATCCCTTGTCAGTTTTTTTACCCATGTCTCCTGCAAGAGTAACTTAGGTAGTAAAGACATAGGGCAAGTGAAACCTTACCACATCAAAAATTCGATGGGCCACTGAGAGTAGATCTTGCTTGGTTACCTTCTTGTTTGGCATAGAAATGGATCGTATGTCACAAAAAAAATCTCATCCTTTTCTCTGTCCCACAACATGCCCAGTAATGTTATGGTATTTTCTGTTGAAAATACATTTTCAAGGTTACTGCCATCTGAATAGTTGCTAGCCCATCCCCTTATATTAATTCAAACTGTCCTAGCTTCATTAGTTCCATGGATTCATTTAAATTTTTCCAGTTCTACTGCAGAGTCGATACTAATGTAATGAAGTGTTTCAGAAGACCTGAGGTAAACACCAGGAAAGGTACTTGGTGACACGAGGGAAAAGTACTGAGGGAAAGTGCTGAGGGAAAAGTGCCCAGTACTTTCGCCGGGTGGCCGGTACTGGGTACTTCCCCCCGCCCTCCAAGCACTTTCTGGCCCTATATAAGGAGCATCCTTGGGGGACTTCTTCAGTTGGGCCTCCGGGCCCGCCCCCGCCGGTAGGCGCCACCGGTGGGTCCCTTCCCCGCACTAGAGGCGTGTTGAGCTCGGTGCATCCCGTCCCCCAGCACTAGAGGAGCTGCTGCGTTTGGGCTCTGGTTGGTGAGTCGCCCAGCACTTCCTGAGACGGAGCCAGTTAGAGGACTGCAGGAGCTGAGAGAAGAGGACTGCAGGAGCCGAAAGGAGAGAACTGCAGGAGCCGAGGAGAGAACTACAGGAGCTAAGGAGAGGACTGCAGGAGCCGAGAGAAAAGGTCTGCCGGAGCCGAGAGGAGAAGTCTGTAGAGCCGTGCTGTTAGGACTCCTGAGAGCCATGGGGCAAGTGGGAGAAGCCACAGGTTGGGCTTCACGAACAGAAGAGATTTGTATATATTGTATATAGTTTTTGTGTAAATAGTCCTGAAATAATAAATGTGTTATAATCCATGCAAGTGTTCAGTCAATCTGAGTCCTAAAATCCCCGAAAAGGTCTGAATGCTGTACAAAGGTAAAAACCTGAGAAAGTATGTAACACTAACAATACATTTATCAACATAAAAGGCATCTTTCTGTTTCTCAGCTGTCTCTTGTAGATGAAGTGGTGCGTCATCCAAATAGTGATTTAGTGTGGCTCCTAACAGAAAGGGACTGGAGGTAATTCCAAAGACAACTCCTGCAATGTCTAAAAGCGTCAATTGTCTAGTAGTCTTGTAGTCTTCTCACCAAATAAACCTAAGGTAGTCTCGGTCTTGAGGAGCTATGCTGATCTGTAAATAAGCTTTCTTTATGTCGGCTGTTACTCCAATCTCGTGCTTCCTAAATTTTATTACAAGAGAGATGCAACCAACTCTTCTAAATTTGTACCTGTAGCCAAACATTCATTCAAAGAGTGGCCTCTTCTGTATACACATCAAATACTGGAAGTATTTTAGTGGTTAGGCTGCTCTCTTTTAATGACTGGGTAATGCGGCAGGCAGGGCTGCAGCTACACATTTTTGAGGGGGGGGGCAAGTCCTGAATTCGCCGCCCTTTCATCACACAATTGTAGATTTGTTCTAAGTGTCAATGGTGTATTTTATAGTCAGACTTAACCAACGATATAAACAACTCAAAATAAACCTTTTTGTATAGGTTAACACAAATTACATAGCAACCTAAATTTTGCCGCCCTCGAAAACCTGCCGCCCGAGGCAAATGGCCATTTATTAAAATTAAAAAACATTTGTGTGCCTCGTGTTAAGTTCAACGATGTAAAGAACTACTGGATTGAGCTCTCAGTGGCGTAGCGGGCGCTGTTTCCCCCACTCCCTACTGGCAGACTCCGCCGCAGCCCATACACTCACCATTATAAAACACACCTTTTTATTTGCTGTTCTGTTGAAATATGGTAGAGATAAAATATTGCTACTGTAACGCATATTATTCTCTTTTTAATAATCTAAACTTTATGTCTGTTTAGATTCTTAAAAATAATACATAGGAACTCTTTAACACATTAGCTACCAAGTTTACTCATCCCTCAGTTACAGAGAAGTGTGACGGTCGGTAGGAAACGTGTTAAAACTATACACGTTCACTACATTTGATTTTAGATATTTTTAGTCAACTGATATTGCTAGTTCCAAATTAAGTGTGGTAAATTAAATCAGTAATGGCAAATACAGGAAATAAAATACAATATGTGTAATTTCAAACCCATCATATTAAACAGAATTGTATTAGGCCTACACATTTCTGAATAGATTAAATCCGTTCAGTTTTTGCTGCATATCTATGTTTGGTGTAAACTGTAAACGCAATACTTTTTTCTTTCTTGATGGGTAGCCTCTGGACCATACAGCAACAATAATAATGGTTTAATTTACCTCTGTCAATATGGTCCTTGCGTGTAGTTTGTCACTACTGCAGTTTCGTGCTCAACAAAACACATAACACACGAATGGTACGAAAAAAACATTTATAAACATGGCCAATACATTAAAAACGTTACACACGGGGTTCGGCGCCGGTAGAAGACAAGTCATGACTGACGTGTGCCGTAGTCGGTAGCCCCTCCATCCTCACTTCTCTTATCAGAACCTTTTCTTTGGTCTTGTTCCAGGATGTGAATGGCGGTATTATAAATAATGTTAGACTGGAATGAGAGTTGTTCGTTTAAAATATGGTATGGATGTACTTTAGCTGCTCGGTAAATCTCAAATTCCTCGATGGTGTCCATATATTTACTTTTATGACAAGTATGCATTACTTCTAAATTTGTTTGTATGTCGGTATAACTATGGTTTGAATCAATGATATGGTTGGCAAAAGCTGATTTGGAGTTCTTTCTAGGTAAATGTTCCTTAAATCTAGTTGCAAAAGAGCGTGATGTTTGCCCAATATAAAAACTGGGGCAATCATTACATGTTATTTTATACACTCCAGTGTTGTTTAATTTGTCGCTATTGTAAGTTTGTCTTTCTTTTAAATTACTGGACAGTTTGTTTGTGGTTTTTTAAGGAACATTTACCTAGAAAGAACTCCAAATCAGCTTTTGCCAACCATATCATTGATTCAAACCATAGTTATACCGACATACAAACAAATTTAGAAGTAATGCATACTTGTCATAAAAGTAAATATATGGACACCATCGAGGAATTTGAGATTTACCGAGCAGCTAAAGTACATCCAAACCATATTTTAAACGAACAACTCTCATTCCAGTCTAACATTATTTATAATACCGCCATTCACATCCTGGAACAAGACCAAAGAAAAGGTTCTGATAAGAGAAGTAAGGATGGAGGGGCTACCGACTACGGCACACGTCAGTCATGACTTGTCTTCTACCGGCGCCGGACCCCGTGTGTAACGTTTTTAATGTATTGGCCATGTTTATAAATGTTTTTTTCGTACCGTTCGCGTGTTATGTGTTTTTCGGTGTGTTTTCAAAAATTGACGACCTTCACGTGAGGAAAATGTTTTAACTTTTTGACCTTCACCTGATGATGTGCTCCACGAGCACGAATCTGCAGTAGTGACAAACTACACGCAAGGACCATATTGACAGAGGTAAATTAAACCATTATTATTTTTTCTTTCGCTTGTTTTGTGATCTATTTTGTAAGATACATACATTCTCATCACACAGTGAAAGAAAAAAGTATTGTGTTTAAGTCAAACATAAACAACAAAAACCTAACAAAATTGTTCTATTCAGAAATTAAAAAAACAACTAATTTAGTATATCAAAGTGTTTTTACGGTTATAACTTATTAATAACAGAGAAAATTAAAAAAATTTAAATCCCCATGTTATTCTTATGGAGAATATTGTAAAATTGTTGTAGTTTGCTTGTTAATAGATATATTTTGTACAAACTTGGCAAATTTATTTATTTTATACTAAGCAATTAATAATTAAAAAAAAACTTTATTAGTTTCCTTGTAGCAGCAAACCTAGGTACTAGTTAAACCTAATGTTATTTAAATAGATTTCATTGAAAATCAATTCAAACAAATGGAAATTCGCTTAGTCCGCAGGTTTGGTATTAATATTTACGCCAACCCAAATTCAAAAATAGTAAATATTTCATTTCAACCGCAAGTCAGTAAATGTTTGTAGCACACGTTTCTTTAAATTACAATTAATATATTAACAACTATAAATTATCCAGCTGATCATAATGTAAACAAATAATATGTTATTCATAAGGATAACATTGGAACTTTAAAAGACACTGGGGCAGAGCACAAAGGGACTTTAAAAAAAAGTAAGGTCAGTTTGCAAATCTACACACCAGGACAAACATTTTGGTTTATATGTGGGGTTAAATCTTAAAACAAAAAGCCTTATTGTTTACAACGTTTTGTGTACTGTACTAATAATAGATTTTAAATTTATAAATGGCTTTTTGTTTCTACTTACTTTAAGATATTGTTCTTCGACACAAAGTATATCTCTTGTTTTTTGTAATCATAATCGACAAGGCCGGTATTCATTTTAGTAAGCTGCCAAACGTTATTAGATTCCCCAGGACCTTCTTGAACAATCACCTTCAACCCATTTTCAGCTGCAACCACCAAAACTAGTGGTTCGGTTTCTGTAAATATTTTTCAGTTAGTTACGATTTGAATTCCATGCAAAATAAGTGAAATATAAAATGTATAACCACATCTCACGCATCACTATGGTCTAATAAAGTGACTGTTTTGACACCCAGCTCAAGTTTTGAGAAAACAAGCAAGTTTTGAGGAAACATTTTTGGGCCATGTGGTGAAGGGTGTGGTTACTAGTATTGCGGTCCGCCACTAACTTGTCCATTGCTGTGTCCGATCAACGTGAGCATGATGCTAGTGAGCGCCTTGTTTTAAACATTTTATAAATAAAAAGATAAATTAAGAAGACCCCTGAAGGTGGCAAAATGCTTAGGGCGACAAACATCATACCCCCTCAAGAACACAGGCAACAACAACAAAGGTATAAAAAAATAAAGGTGTATAAAAAGCTTGGCTAATATAGCTTCCTTTGTTTTGTACAGAAGTGAAATAATTGATTCAAAATAAAGAGTGTTGTTGTAAAAGAGACTTTTTTAATACTTTTTTTAATACTTTTCTTTGAAATGGCGACCATACAAAGTAGGTATTTTAAGCCAAGTATGAATGGAGATGAGTGTATGATGAGTGGCGCGATCTTGTAGTCTTGTTAGTGACTAAGGCCGACATATTCCTTAGATACAGCTGTTAATTAATAGCCCATACAGCTAATGGCGACTAAGGGACCTATAGTTTATAGTGGAATCCGAACCACTTTTTTTCCTTGGTATATACGAATTGGTCTAATTATTAGGATAGTACTGCGGATAGTCGTAGTACTCACCCATGCGGACGTTAATCCACACCAGGGAGTATCGCATCCAAAGTGCATACCTATAAATATCCACAATTCGTGACCTCCTAGTAGCTGGATTACAGGACGACCCCACCCGTCCCAGACTTCATTTACACATACCTTCAGGTAGGATTTGATATAGTGACAAGGTGTCATTTCCTCCACACCAACGAGTGTTGTCCTCTGTACAAGGATAGCAGAAGGAATTGTCCTCTACAGTCGAGTGCTTCCTTATGTCATTACCACAGAAACAAGTATTCTTTCTGGAACAAAATAATAAGGTAGGTTTAAGATTATTTTATTTTTAACAAATAACCATAAAAAATACTACCGTCGCAGCAAATCTGCAGACTGCAGCAAAAACAATTGTTATAATATTGAGAAATAAGATAAAATACAATATGTTATAGTACTCGTAGCGTTAGATAGTTAACATTTCTACAGCGAAATGCAAGTTTCACAAAATGCAATTTTGCAAAATGATTTTTATACAAACATATATCCATGTACATGTTCAAAAGCCACATACTTTTAATGAATTTTAATTTTTATACTGCATTTTCAAGAAAATAACACCACTATTAGTGTGTACAAATTACCGTATTGTAGTTATGTATTGCAGATGACAAACATTTACTATACTCCACAGTTCAACATGTAAGATAAGATATACTACCTCGCCTGAACTCCTGCGTAAATTGTCACTTTGTGTGCGCAGAGCTGCATACAAATCTCCCAAGTCACAGGTTTTATGACTGAGTTGTATTTACTGCGCAAGGAAAACGTTGAGGAAAAACATCCTGAGTGAGTGAAATTCTGTGATCCAACGCATGAAACTGAAAAATATACATACAATAATTTTCCATGAACTGTCTCAGCAGCTATACAGTTATACAGTGATACAGTATTGAGAAATTAACATTTTCTGGTTTTCCATAATATTTCAAAACATTTTATTCCACACATATAATTATATATTGGTAAATCTTACTCCTACGATCAGAAGTCAGATTTGATACTACAAAATGTATTTTTTAGCAATTGTGAGTTGTTGAAATTGAAATCTTGCACCAGTTACTTCCAAAACAGTACCTAAATTGTGAAAGGGGGTTTTCACCAAAACGTCTTGCCAATTTTTTTAAATTTATATTTTGCAGTTATACATAAATTTTATGAAAGATTGTTTCCACTGTTGGCCTTAAAGGGGATCTTTCCTTAATTTTACTCGTACTGTAAATGTGAAATAAATACCTCCATCACAGCAAAACTCCAGACTAAGCTTTGAAATCTAATTTAAATTTGTCGGATTGAATTTTCACTATAATATTTCCTTTTACAGGTCTGATTTATTCCCTATTCAAACAGCATCAGGTTTGATAGACAACAATACCTATGTACTTAAGGTAATCAGAAATCTAAATCCTTTATCACATGGACATTGAGAGCACTGGCCTAATAAAGTCTGTTATTACAAATACATACATAAAATCTGTATATGCGTTACAGTATGAGTTTACTCAGTTAAAAGAAAAATGAGAAGATGTAATAAACTGTGTTTTTTTACTAAAATGTTCTTAGATTCATAGATTACACTAGTCCACCAGATACCTAACAACAAACAAAGTATAGTTCTAAAATTTTACTTAAGCTGTAACATACATAAGGTAGGATGTAGCTTTATAAGCTGTTTTTGTTGAGTTATGCCATTCACTAACCAACATAAGTAGACTTCTCATCCCACCGTACTATTTGAAGCTCGTTTTTTTTGTGTCTATGTCGGTGACACTGATCACTTGTGTCAACAAAATTTTATTTCTATTAATTTAGGGTTCATTGCATGATTTGTGCTTTACTGTTTGGTTATATACCGTAAACTAGTGAACGATATTTTTTTCTTTTACTGTATTTGGTTTAACGAGACTAACTGAAACAACATGAAACAAATTGTAAACAAAAACTCAATCCTAGCGGCACCGGACGGAACAAAAAATTGTCATCAGCTGATCCATAAGGATAGGTACAAATCTACTAAGGGAGTACGTTTTATCCATGGTTAAGCCATAAGTTTATATAAAGTGGACATCCCATCTACATGGACCAGCTACAGCCAACTTAATAAAAGGAAAAACTAAATCGAATGGGCCATTTACTTACTGTGTGCCACCGTCTTAAGTTATATTTAGTTTTAATTACTGTAATAGTTGATGTCAAATCTATTATATTTATTAAAGTGATACAATCAAATTTTATGTAAATGGTTAAGGTCATTAACAAAATAAAATTATAGGCATAAGGCACATTGAAACAAAGCTCAGAGTGTGTAGATTTGCCGAAAAGTATTGGTATGAACAAATTCTCTTAGGGCTCTGCCCCAGAGGCCGATTTCCAAAGGGCTACGCCTTACACGTTTTAGAAGTTAACGATATTCGATTAATTTAGTGAACAACAGCTGATCAATGCAATTGACATTAGTTGTTTGTTTACATTTTTGTTTACTTATATTATTATTTACTTTTATGTTCTTAAAAGAGGTGCGGTAAATGAACACTGGATGCTATTTTTAGCTGTTTGATATAAGTGAGTGCTTTAGGGTGTTTAAAAGACGATGTATATTAGATAAACAATACATGTGTGTTGGTCGTCCAAGAGGCTGTCGCCGATCTGTAACAGGACTTCGTGAAAGTGGGCGACGAGTTCAGGTACAACCGTATGCCTACTCACCTCGGCCACTTCAGTCACATGTATGATGGTCCCGCTGCTTTTTTTTTACATTCCTTCTGATGATAATTTCTCAAACTTGAGCCCTTTAAATGAAATATAAAATCAAAATTGATTTCATTAATTTAATGGTGGCTGCTATGTACATTGTACACCCGTGAATTCGTGGGTAGAACCTCTTGTACTAGATTAACTTAATAAGCAAGAAAGTATAAGGAAGTAAAGTATAAGACTTAATTACATGTACCACATACACCTGCTTCTTGGATCAAGAAAAATAATAGGTGGAATGTTAAAAAAATAACATAAGGCCACTCTGTACCGGTATCAGTTAAACCATTCATGAAATGTCTTTACATTCTTGTTAGTTGCGTCTCAAAAGCAAGTGTGACATTATTTTGTGATTGCTCTATACGAACGGTGAATTGTTTTCAAAGTATTTAATTTCCTCTACAAAATTTGGCTAATGGCCAAAGAAAAATATGCAAGTCTCAATTAATTATAAACTCTTAAATAGTAATTAATACATGAGAGAACATACCTGCTTTTGGCAATAGAATTAGCACAGATATTGCAAGAAGATACAGCATCATTATTGAATCCTTCTTTCCCTTCATGTGATTCATAGACTATCACTGTACATCCTTTCCCATCCTTATCTCTTTCCGGTCGATTAATAGCTGTTTGACTAAACTGTAATGTGATACTCTTTGATGCTGCTGCTGCTATCCTGATAATTAGACGAATTTGTATATATACCAAGGGAAAATGTGGTTCGTATTCCACTATAAACTGTAGGTCTCTTAGTTGCAATTAGCTGTATTGGCTATTAATTAACAGCTGTGTCTAAGGAATGTCGGCCTTAGTCACTAACTAGACTACAAGATCGCACCACTCATCCTACACTTATCTCCATTCATACTTGACTTGGCTTAAAATACCTACTTTGTATGGTCGCCATTTAATAAGAAAGAAAGTAAAGATTAGTTGTTTTAGACAATCCATCCCCATGCTACAGTTAATTGAGTTTAACCAGGTTTAACACTAAGGTCTCATTTAATTTAGGGTTAAACCCAAATAACATGCATTTGATATAGGAAAATTAGGTTTTTTGTTATTTACCCAAAAACCAAAAGAGATACTAAGTAAGTGTAAATTACAAAGTTGTCAAGAATTAAAAAAAAAAAAAACTATAACATGATGTGCCACTTCACATATGGTGCCATTTGAACATTTTGAACAATGGGCATTTAAACATTTTCAAAAATCTTTTTTTTTTAATTTTTATTATTTTGAAAAACCGTTACTTGTAGCATATCAAAGTAAAGCTAATTTCATGACGAGTAAGACAATTCAACCGGAGAAGGGCTAAGTGCATTGGTATAGGAAACACAGAGTATTAAAAAAATATTGATTTTTTTTTTAAACTGCCACCATTTTGAAACAGAAAAAGATAATTAATTTCTGTTTTCGCCAAAATGTTTGTCTATTACATACCTTTACAATGGTGTATAACATGACGTATGTTTACGTTTGAAAATCCCAAGATTCGAACTAGTGACGCTCAGTTTTTGGCACACCATGTATCGGAAAAATGTTAAAAATATTTTTATGTTATACCTTGTTGGGGTCGATTTAATAGAAAATAATTCATTTCATCCTTGTAGGTTAAGCCGTTTTTCCGTTATCAATTTGAGACACCTCTCGTGGGACACCCTGTTTATAATATGTGTCCGTCCAAATTTTGATGTACAGGGTCTTTGTTAAAGGTTTTTTTTTACTTTTTTTGCTGAAAACTCTGTTTTAAGTACTTTAGAAACCTTGTTGTTTGGAATAAGTGCTGGTGCAGGTTATGATTCATAATTATGAATCAGCAAAGTAGATTTCTAAATTTCCTATGAAGTATCAACTGGAATTTCAGGTCATCATATTCAGAACTCACAACTAACTGGTTCTCCAAAGGGTTAATAACCTTCTCTAGTAGGACCAGCTTTTCATGTTTGAAACAATGAAAAACAACACATCTGTCTCTGTCGTACACCAGGCCCGCTTTAATAAACGGGCAGACTGATGGGCATATGCCCAGGGGCGCCGGTGGTTGGGAAGTGCCTGGCAGGCACTGCAAGTCCACGTTCAACACCATCAAACGTTTTGCAGACTACCTTCCACTGAACTTGAAAATCATGCTAGTAAAAACTCTCATCTTGACTCATTTCAACTACTGTGATGTGGTGATCAATGATATGACAAATGAGGTTTCTAGTAGACTTCAGCGAGCGCAGAATTCCTGTATCAGATTCATGTTTGGCCTTAGGCGATATGACCATGTAACTCCTTACTTGCAAGTTCTAATTTCGCCTCCTAAATAAAGACATTTTTAATTTCATTCATTCATTTCATTTCACGTCCATCTACCGCCCACACTAAAAAAAGGGGGGCGCTGCTTTTGAGTTTGCCCAGGGCTCCATTGACCCTTAACGCGGCCCTGCGCATGACAGATAAGTAAGTATATAAACCATGCGCTTTAAATTCTGGTATTTTGTGTCGGGAATTCACTTGTGACGAGCAAGAAAGAGCGCGAGTGGTGAGCACTGTGCAGGAAATTCCTATAGGGCACAAATCTTCCTTCACCGTGAGCGTTGTAGTACATATGGACGATAGAGGGTGGTGTTGGAATTTGCACTAGATAACAGCACTGGCACTAGTGCTAGACACCACTTAAGTATAGGCCTACCATGGAGTGTATCCTCTGCTCCTTACTCTATGTCAATCAGCTGTAAAAGATCAAACAACTATCAATGTGCTGTAATTCAGTCCTAGTTTTAAATAGTTCACTAATTTGTTGTCAGATATCACCTACCAGGGCTGCATCGCCGAGAACGTTTTGTCAAACCGTAGCATTGTCTTTTCACACGTGACAAGGAAGGCTCCTCAAACCACCTTAAAGGATTAAGAGTTATAAATAACACTTTGGTTATCATTTCATAAAATACCTGAATAACAGATCAACAATTATAATACTGTATGGAATGTAGATTTATCAAAACGGCATAGATCAAAAATATCGAACAAGAAATAGCTTAAATATTAAGATTTTTAGTTGTAAAATAGGGTAGAATAAGGCAGAAGCTAGTCAGGTTTGCCCCATTTTACAACTAAAAATCGTAATATTTAAGCTATTTCTTATTCGATATTTTTAAACTTGGTATCGTTTGATAGGGAATTAAAAATGCTAAATAAAAGCGTACTTGACATTTTTTTCATAAAATTAGCTGTTTTTGAGTAATTTAAGTTTTAAAAATTAAAATGGCCACCATTTTTAAATTTTAAGTTGAATCAAGATGAATTTTTTCTGCCTTAACCTACATACCAAGTTTTATAAAGATTGGTTGAAAAATTTCAAAAATAAAAATGTTTTTATAAAATATACAAAACGGCGGATATCTGGTTAACGAAGTGATTTTGGAAAACAGGTTATTCTTGATTTTCTCTTTATTTTGATCCATAGAACCATTTCCCGGAGTTTGGCTGTTTACTTACGGGACACCCTGTATATGTATGTGAAAGCGATAACTTGAGTAATTTTTGTCCGTTTTTGATGAAATTTGGCTTGAAGGTGTAGGGCGGAATAAACTTGAATGAGTATGTGAACCAGCATGATCAGACTATGGGATCGGGGTTTTATGGGGTAAAAATTGGTTTTTCTCATGTTTGATCCTCAAAAGAAAAAAATTTCCAATTTCTCTTAGTACCATATTTAGAGCTTAAAAATACAAATAATTTAGTATATTAAAGTGTTTTTGTACGGTAATTGATCACAGAAAAAAATCGTAAATTTAAAATTACTATGCTATTTTTATGGAGAATATTGTAAAATGTGGTAGTTTGCAGCGGCAGGGGTATTTTATGAGTTATTTTGGGTGAAACATACTTAAAAGCACTTTGCCGGCTAGTGAAAACAGCCGGTCTTTGTGAGTAACAAAGCTACACAGATAACCTCACAACATTCTACACTCATCCTTCACTTATATTTGGGTTAAAATACACACCTTCTTGGCGTCCCCATCTGAATTGATGATAATCTATACTTATTTAATACGCAAGCAGGTTTTTTGTGACAATTACTCCTCCGAAACTACTGAATTCGAAAGAGCGTAACGTAAAGTTGTGCAGGAAACTTTCTTTTTAGGGAAATAATTAGAGAGTGAGGCCTGGGGGCCCTTTAAAGTTTCGTATTTCTCCATAAGATTAACATGGGAAAAAACATTGTTATAAAACTACAGCTGTTGTCAGAAATGCTGTTCTGCTATTTAATTTAATTTGTTTACAAGGAGAATTGTTTCTTGGTGCCATGTGGTCAATGAATTATACTTTTGCATATACAGGGTGAATAAAAAGTCAAGACCCCCCCCCCTCTAATATTTTTCCAAGTAAATATACAGAGATATCCTTTTGGTGGTCCTGCAAGCTTAGCAGGAAGTTTCATTTTATGATTTTGAAATTTTTGGGTGTCCCCCCGAAAGGGGGGATTTGGGGGGTAACTCAAATATTTTAAATGTAAACCCCCTTCAAGTGACACCTCATTTTGAAGTGTTTACAAAAACCTAAAGAATTGTGAAAACTAGAGGTCGCTATCTCTTCTCTATCCAAAATGGTAGCCCGTCAAATGTTGTAGAAAATCAATGGTAAAATTGGTTCGTAATGGAAATATTGGCTACCATTTTGGATAGAGAAGAGATAGCGAACTCTGGTTTTCACCATTCTTTAAGTTTTTGTAAACACTTCAAAATGAGGTTCACTTGAAGGGGGTTTACATTTAAAATATTTGAGTTAACCCCCAAATCCCCCCTTTTGGGGGGACACTCAAAAATTGTAAAATCATAAAATGAAACTTCCTGCTAAGATTACACGACCACCAAAAGGATATCTCTGTATATTTAATGGGAAAAATATTAAAGGGGGGGGGGGGGGTCTTGACTTTTTATTCACCCTGTATTTTAAATGCTATATACTATATAAAATGATAGTACTGTAATACATTAAGAGATCTTAATTTAAATAATCAATAAGCAGGATTGAGCTTTTGCCTATATGTTTCCTGGTAAGTGTGTTGTAACTGTTTCTCATAGTATTTTATAGTATCTTAAAGTACAAAAACCGAATTATTCTTTTCTGCATTCTCACCCCGTAGCGAAGCACGGGCAGAGCAACTAGTGATAATAAAAGTGAAGAATAAAGACAAGTGACTCAAAGATATGTAAAATATGTTCAAAAAGAAACCATACTACTAAATGAAATTCATCGAACATTATCTACATGGAGTTGGATTAACTGTAATGCTGGAGAGTCGCTTTTCATAGGGATACCAACTTCCTCCTCTCAATAAATTAATGATAATATAATAGTTTTAGTTTAGGACTTAATGACACTACTGGTGACAAGCTTTGTACAAAACAGATCAGTAAACTCACACACATCACTTACCTATTGAAAAACAAATGTTCCAGAGTCAGAGGACACTTAAACAAATAGAAAACTCAAAAGTTTAGGAAACGTACTGTAAATAACAAGGAAAAATGATTAAAACAAGTTTTACACATGTTTGTTATATTTGTTAAATATTACA